TAAGGAAGGGGGGGGACTTTTTCCACTGCACAGACAGCCCCCCAATCTCACTCATCACCTTCAATAATACAACATCTAATTTAAACATGCAGACTGGTATCAGAGCTTGCAACACACCCTGATGCCAACTTTGCTGCTGCATACACCCAGACAACACACTCACTGGACCTAACAACATCAACTATGCCATCTGAGGCTGCTCATCTTCTAACATTGTATTTGTCATCAAATGTCAACAATGCCCTTCAGTTTTCTATATAGGAGAAACAGGGCGCGAGAGGTGCCTCTCCCAAGGCGGAAGCCAAAGGATTGAGGCACCTTTTTGCCCCAAAAGGCCCTGCGGCATGGAGCCAGCATGACACAAAGAGGCGCACACCAGACAGAGTGCACAAGGATCCTAAGGAAGATCTTCTCTAGATATGCAATGAACGCAAGTACAAACGTGAGTAAAGCCATGACCCAGCAAACAATCAATAAAACGCTAGCTGTGAAACCACCCCATAGCCCCAAACAAGTGGAAGGGGAAGTGGAATGCCCGATCCTGAATAGACTGAATTTAAAGCAGGAGAAGATCCAATCTCTTACCCAACTTAAAGCCGCTGCCTGATAATATAACTTCCAGTCTGGTAACCCAAATCCTCCTCTTTCTTTCCTATCTTGTAATATTTTCCAATTAATTCTTGCCTTTTGGGGGTACCAGATGAATTTTCTTATAATCTTGTCTAGATCTGTAAAGAACTGCAAACTTTTAAGAATTGGTATATTTTGGGCTAGAAACAAATATTTAGGTAGTATATTCATTTTGATGGCTGCTATTCTACCCGATAAAGATAGCTGTAGATTTCCCCAACTTTGAACTTCTTTTCTAATTTCCTCTAGTAGTTTATAATAATTATCCTTTATAAGTGTGGTATTTCTGTTTGATATTATTATTCCAAGGTATTTAATTTTTTTCACTATTTCTATTCCCGTTGCTTCTTGAATTGCACTAGCCACTTTAGTTGTACAGTTTTTAGTTATTATTTTTGTTTTCTTCAGATTAATCTTTAATCCTACCATTTCTCCGAATTCTTTAATTTTTCCCAACAAAAGTTTAACGGTTTCTAAAGGGTCTTCCATTATAAACACGATATCATCTGCATATGCAAGCGACTTAAATTCTTCTCCCTGTATTTTAAGGCCCTGTATTTGCGGATCCTTTCTTACCATATCGTTTAACGTTTCCAACGCAAATATGAATAATAGAGGTGACAAGGGGCATCCCTGCCGGGTTCCTTTTTGAATCTCAATATCAGTAGTCGTATCCCCAAACTGGGAAAGGAGTTTATAGCAATGGATAAAAAGAGGAAAAATGGGGTAGTAACCTATGTTAAAGAACAATTTTCTCCAGAGCTAATACATGCGACAGATGATGGTAGATTGGTCGCAGTGAAAATAAGGAGACAAGAAAAAGAGATCTTAATAATAAATATATATGCGCCCAATCAGAACCAAGAGCCCTTTTATAAAATGTTGTATGATTTCATGAAAAAACAGAGAATAGAAAATATTTGTATTGCGGGAGATTTCAACGCAGTATTTGATGAAAAGTGGGATAAAAAAACAACCAGAAAAAACAAAAGAAGAAGCCAGACATTACCAAAAACTTTTTAGAAATGGCAGAAGAATATAAATTAATAGACCTATGGAGAACTAGGAACCTAGGGAAAACAGATTTCACATATTACTCAGCCAGACACAACTGCTGGTCGAGAATTGATATGATATGGGCTTCTTCCAGTTGGGTATTAGAGATAGAAATACTCCCACAAACTTTTGCTGATCATAATCCGGTACAATTTAGGCTTACTGAAATATCTAGAAGACCAAGATGGAGACTAAACCTAGGGCTGTTAAGGGATCGTGATTTTGTAAAATGTACTAAACTTGAAATAAAGGAATTCTTTATAAGGAACAATCAAAAAGAATCTTCAATAGATATAATATGGGATACTTTTAAGGCGTATATAAGGGGGTGGTTCATTAACCAAGACTCTTGGAGGAAAAAGAAAAAGAAGGAAACATATGAGAACATACATAGGTTATTTAAAAAAGAGATGTTTTGTCTATTCTGTAAAAAATCCAATAAATATATATATAAAAAAAAAAGAATATTGCACCATGAATTAAATTTAGTATTAACGTAAGAGATAGCGAAAAAAATAGAGTACACAAAACTATATTATTTTGAGAATGCAAACAAAACCTCTAGGTGGTTGGCGTATAAATTAAGAAAAGAAAGAGAAAAGCGTACTATTGTAGCCTTAAGTAATGAAGAAGGAGAAATAAAATATGGCTTAAAAGAAATGATTACAGAAGACTTCTACAGGAAATTATATAGACAAGGGATGCAAGATATAAATCAGATAAATAAATTTGTGCAAAGGAATGTGAGCCATAACTTAGAGGAAAAATATAAAAGTATATTGAACGATAAAATCACAATGTGTGAAATAGTGGAAGCTATTAAAAAACAGAAAAAGAAAAAAAACCCAGGAACAGACGGAATACCAGTTTAAGGCTGCGGTCACACGGAACATTAGCCATGCGAGTCAGACGGAAGACATGCGGGTTTTCCGGGCGCGATCTCACCGGCACATCTGGGAAGTGTAGCACTCCCGTGGCTCAAACGAGGCTTCCTGCCGAAACCACGCGGCAAAAAACTAGTACCTCCGAGGTACTAGTTTCCGGAAACCGCGGGGCAAGGGCGGGCGTCTGATCGCGTTTCCGGTGGCATCCGGCGCCCGCCCATGTTCCCTGGCGAAAAAGTTTTTTTTTCTTCAAGGCTTTGTGGATGCGCAAAAGCACACAACGGAGCATGCGCAGTCATGGTGTAAACAAAAAAAACCTTCCAGTTTGCCGCACCGCGCACTTCGTTTTTGCGCGCGGGATTGTTCTGCGATCGGCACCTCTCCTTTCCCACGGAACCTCCACAGTACCTCCACGGGAGGTCTGATCAGGTAACCGCGCCTTAGTTTGCCCCGGGGCAAACTGCCACACTTCCCCCCCGCAGTTTCCTGCCCGTGTGACCGGGACCAGAGTTAATCTGTTTTGCAATTTCCTTTCCTCTTATCAAAGTCCAAATTAGTTTTTAGATGGTTTAGGGGCAAGAGTCCCTAGTTATGCTTCAGGATCAGAGAGTTTTGCCAGATGGTTTAGGGGCAAGAGTCCCTAGTTGTGCTTCAGGATCAGAGAGTTTTGCCAGA